TATATGTAAATATATGTAATAAATATATATAAAAAATATATATAATGTGCGGTACTAATTGTAATACCACTGAATAGATAATGATTCTACGAATTTTGTTAATCTTCAAAATCGATTTTTTGGAAAACAAAACTTTGAAGGAAAAAATTACAAAATTTTTTTTATTTTTCATGCAAAATCATTTTTCGTCCAGATATATTACGATTACTATTCTATTATGTATCATACAATTTAAATTCACAAATTGCATATTTCACAAAAACATTGTATAAAAAAAATAATGTTTTAAAATAATTTACGCGATTAGAGTAATAATACATAATAATATATATATAATAAAATTTGAAATTATTAAATTTCAATTTGATAAATTTTCTAAAAAAAAACAATGGATATCATGTAAAGTATTTTTCACAATATCAGAGATTTAAGACATTCAAGACATAAATCATTTAATAGAACGCATTAATTATGTATTTATTAGTGATATGAAAATCAAAAATTAATAAAGAATAACAAAAGTATAAATATCAATAATAAAAACAGTACAATTATATAAGTAAGAACATCATGTTAATAGTAAAATGTTTTTAATATAATAAAATACTATTTTGACCTCAATTGTAATAATTAATAGAATATTGTAATTTATTAATTATAAATAAAATCGGCATTCTATTTTACATTGAAATGTGTACATAGTGAATATTCAAACTTGATTATCTTAAAAACTAACCTTGGACAAAAAAATTTTATTCTATGTTTTTTTCTTATTTTTTCACAAAGAATTATTTTTGAAAACGATTATTTAAAAAAAAAATTATAATAAAATAAGTAAAATTAAAGTAAAATTAAAAGAATTATCTTTTATCTATTTGATACGTTATGCGATCCATCGTGTATAAAATTGAAAATATATTAATAGATTTTCATAAAATGAAACTTAAAGATAAATTATAATAAAATAATTAAAATTGAAAAAACAAAATTAAATTACATAATTACCATTTTATTTTCATATTCCGCAAATAAGAAAAATTCTCATAGACAGATATTAAGTGTAATAATAGTTTGCACTATTATACATTTTGGATGTCAACTTCCATGATATTTTTATAAATAATTAATTGTATATTGATGTACATCATGAATATTTAGAAAATTTTATATAATGATAACTATATGATAATTATATAATATCTCGAAAATTAAGACTTAGTATAAAAAAAAATTGTTTAGGATTTTTAGTCTTTAATGTTTAAAAATCATTGAAATCATTGAAAGAGAACTCCTTTTCGCCGTTGTTTAATAAAATTTAATAATATATTATTTAATATTAATTCAGTTTTTTTATAGTTTGATACATAAAGTTCAATACTATTTTGACCTCAATTGTTCAATTTTAGAAAGTCAACTTTATTTTTTAAAATAGTGTAATATTTTCTATTAATTCGTTATTTTCTACGAAAATCTAGTAATTATACAGAATGTTTTAATTTTAAATAAATTTTGCTAATATGTTTTATGATTATAAGAAGAAAAAAATGTTATGTACATAGAGCTTTCAAATACTTTATAAAAAAGTTATATAAAAAAATATGAAAACTAAAATCAAATTCTTTATATTTTTATTTCAAAATAAAATCGAATTCAAAATTAATACCTTTGAAAGATTTAGTTTGTTATACTTCGAATTTGATCCTTATTTTGCTTCAATTCACTAAATCATGAATTCTTTGTATCAATTAAATCATGAATTTTTTGTTTCGAATTAACTATTGTACGATACACTATCACTTTTATTATTGCCTATTGTACATTAAAATTTAATGATCTTCCAAATCAAACAATATGTGTTTCTCGACCAATCTTTCGATGACATTCATTTAGTCGTTTTCTATAGATTTTGCGCAATATGCTAAGCACAAATACAGTTAACATTATTATTTAATGATATATCGATAACAAACTTTTTAGTTTCCATATTTCTTGTGTAATTTTTTTAAAGCGTTGAAGGTCTGTTTATATAAACAGACTTTCTTTCTTCTTTCGGCATTATTTGAAATAGAGAAATCCTCATCAATTTTAATTTTTGAATATACTATAAAGCACAAAATTTTTTCTTTTGCATGTTATTACCGTTCAATTTTAATTTTCGAGATATTTGAAAAAAAAGATTGTTATTATTTTAACATAAAATTTTTCTTATACATCTGTATATGATTATCACTTATCTACTATTATCTATTCCACATCACAGCAGCGTCCAAAATGTATAACAAATACACTGATTAAAAAACTTTTTTATAGATTATGATAAACTTAAAATATTTCAAATCTAATGCGCGGATTAATATTGGACAATCGAAATTACAATGATATTAAAAGATATTGATATTCAATTTCGATCATTGTAATTTGAGCTAAAAGTTATTTTATATTTTATTTCTGTATTCCGCGAATCCCAAGGATCTGTAATTCAACTATGCTTTGTGATTAGTGTTTTTTGTTAATAATTCATTAACAAAAGTTTTTACAAAAGAAAATGTTAAATGTTAAAAATATTGAAATTACCTTAGAAATTTTCAATTAATTGATGTTTCTATTTTTAGAATATCCTATAGTTAGCATTTCATTAGTATAGAAGTCTTCGTTAAGATATATTTTTAGACTTAAATGACATTTTGATTTTATTTTGACACTTTGGTAATATGACACTATGTATCACGGTATATAATTAATAAATAAATTCAAAATCATAAAAAATCATAACAATGCAAAAATCATGATAGCTATCTATTTCTAAATTGTGATTTATTTTTGTAAAAATATCTTATATACGCATTATTTTTTAAAACCAATTTAAAATTAAGTTTTCTCCTTCTATTTCTAATGAATTTCTTTCTTTATTTTTTTAAATAAAATGAAATCACTGAAAATTTATAAATAAGTAAGCATATTAGTAAAATATATTGTATATTAATAAAGCCTTGTCTGACAAAGTTACTTGAAATAGCAATATTCGATATTTGATGTTTATAGGAAATCTTGCATCTTTTATTGTAACACAGCATGATATTCTTATGTGGCTATTTTCACACAATTTAATGTTTAGTTATTTTTAATAACTTTTAATATTAAATCTTGAATGAAATAGTTAAACACTCATGTCGTTATTGAAATGTTATAAATATCGAAAATGAAAAAATTTGTTAGAATAAAAAATTATTATCTTGAAATAATAGAGAGAGAGAAAGAGTATAATTCGAACATCACTAATCATGTGCGTTATGTTAATGAATATAAATTTAAATATTTTTTTTATTTGTTTCAAATTTTGTAATATGTTGATTTACTAATTTTGTAATTTTATATATTTTTTTTGAAAGATTTAAATGTTTATAAATATAATTTTAAATGTATGAATGTTTATAAATATGTAATATAAATAAAATAAAAATTCACACAAAATA